AGCATGTCGCGGCCTTTACGCGCTGGTTCTATTTTCTACATGCGGCGCCTCTGAAACGGGTCAAATTCGACATTTTTGGGGAAGAAAAGACAGGAAATCGGACGCGGAAATGGAGCGAAGCTTCCTGGGATTTTCAGAATAAAGAAACGTACTGCCTTCCGGTTGCTTTAGTTAAAAAAAAGGTTACTAAATGTGCGGCCCCGTGAGTTTTCACCTAGCTAGCGGTCTCCTTTGTGTTTCAGGTCCGTATTGGCGATTATAAAATGGACAGAACACAAAACACAAACCTTTTGGAGCCATGTTGTAGTTTTCTCCTGCTTGTTGTTGTGTTTACTGACGGAGTCACTCGTGTGACTTCGTGCTCTGTCGGTGACAGCTGCTCCCCTGCTGCTTCACATCTCGTGGGAAGGGCCAAGCAGCAGCTTACGCGAGCAAGACGTGCTGCTGCAGTAACGTGCTGCTGACGGCTCCCGTGGAAAGGAGGAGTTACTCGCAGGGCAGACCTCACGAGTCATGTGCTCACACTGTACGACCCAGTTCTCGGATGCAACCTGACTGCTCACACTGTACGTCTGGTAGCAACACGTCGGACCTAAAAATATGCTAAAAATAGCAGTTTTTACTCAACACGTCAGACTTTTTTGTCTTGTTTTGCCTGTTGTCCTTCGGGAGTGCTGCAGGAGGACACACAGGGATTTATGGGGGTTGGATGAGGAAAACGAAATAAAGAAAGTAAATCTGTGTTTTGTGATCAGTTTAATTTGACATGAACACGACAAACACGCTTTCTTGACAATCTTTGTGAGTAAAAAAACGTGTAGAAATAAAAACGAACAACGTGTGTTATTAGGGAAATAGCGGGCGAGCGGTGTTGATGCATGATTGCGCATGCGCCGTGAGCGGTTCTGGTACTTTTTGGGTCGCAGACGCTCGCAGCGCCGCTTCAACAGTGCGATACCCTCACGAGGGACGAGCAAAATATTAAACACGCCAGAAGTCCGTGCGACCTCACGACTGCTGATCGGTAGCTGGTCACGTGGTGTTAATGGCCTCTCGTAACCCCCTGTACACTACACGACGCTCAGCGCTAAACTCGCGCCGATCTCGTGGATTCTCGCACGAGTGGAAAATCGGCTCAAAAGTGAAAAAGTCGCACAGTGTACGCCCGGCTTAACTATTCGATCCAAACAATATTGAATATTTCCAAAACGTTTTATAATATTGCTTTAAGTCATTTTTAAGTTTGCAAGCCTTTAAAACAACAATAAAATGTTTAACAATGATGTAAAAAAATAATAATAAACTAGAACTGCAAGCAGTTATCAACGGGTTCCAAGCCCCCAGCGCCAGTCGCCCACCCGCCCCGCCCTCAACTTCGCCAGTCCTCACGCGGTCCAGCCCCAAAAACACGTTCTCCCGCCGGCGTCCCGTCAGCTCACTTCAACCGGCGCAATGAAACTAACACTCAGGATACGTCATTAAACCGGCAAAGCCTATACACATATCTTTCAGAGGCATGGCTGACTTCTCAATCGTGGTTACAATGGAATTCCACTGTTTCCTTATTAAAGAATGTGAAGATTTAATGAGTGAGATTATCAAACAATGATCTATACATCAACGGAATATTACAAATAGCATAAATCCTTGATAATGTCTTTAGATTTAAAAGATTTTCAACAAAAACTATGAGTTTCATTTTGTGACTTACTGACCAAATGTTTTAAAAAATCATGAAAAATACACAAATCATCCTAAAATTACCAAAATATTCTCACATGGCAGTGTTAACATGCGGAATACTATGATGTTGTTTTTAAATCAGTAGACTCAAAGCTTTTTTTGAAGAAAATATTGGGAAATATAACTATAAAGGTCACAACAAAAATTAAAATATTCATAAAAAAATAGTGCTACTTTCTAAAATTAGGAGAAAAATCTCAGATCACCATAGGTACATGTGGAATGTTGTAAATGGCTTATATTTACTGTATACCTAAAAAGCTTTCTAAAACAAATATTAATTACGTTGTTGTCCAACTATACAGAAAAACTGGTAAAAAGTTAAAAATTCATTAAAAATCAATGCTTTTGTATAGAAATCTCAAAATATTCCCAGGTTGCTTCTGTGATGTGAGAATTCTTCTCATATTTTTGATGGGGTCATAAATGTAAAACTGTACTTACAATAAAATAATATTTGCATTAGTGGCTGTAGACAAAAATATGTCCTACAATTAAACACTAGGGGGAGCTCAAATCAAGACGACATTTTTTTTGTTTCATAAACCACCTAAGAGTGAACTTTTTGGCAAATTACAAGAAGATTGTGAGAACAGAATTTGCGCTACAATTGCTAGCCTAAAAATTTATTTTCGTAAATATAAAGCGCACACCTCTTCGTGGAGCTGCGGCTTTCGTGACCTAAGCTCTAGCCTATCCAGTTAAGACAATCTGGAAATCTTAGCCTGTTACATGCAAATAGTGATTTTTAGGAAATTTTTCAAATTTGAAATTTTAAATGATCATAAACCACGCCCACTTTGATCAATCATTACCATATTGATATTGTGGTCTTAAGACTCTATAGTGATGATAACCACTAAGTTTCGTGCAGATCCATTTAGCCAGTTCAGCAGTATAATTTCTTCCCAGTTATAGCGCCCCCTATTGTTTAATCAAGTTGAAAACCAGGACATACACTTGAATTGACCTTAGGTATGGCTGTTATGAACAGCTTTGAAAAATGTCAAAATCTTTTGAAGTTACGCTAAAAAAACTTTTTCATTCCCAAAAAATTATTTTAAAAAATCATATTAAAAAAAATAAGCAAATTATCCAAAATCCCTTCACAACTTTTGGTCAGCCGCTCCTCCTCTCTTGTCAGGGAAAGTTGTGATGTGATTGAGTTTGACGGCCGGGAGGAGTTAACGAAAGTACGTTTGACATACTATGCAAATTTCTACTAATTAGCATAAGTTTAAAACACTTTTTAAAATACTCATCTAAATTTGACTGACTCAATGAACATACTGGATGAGATCATTTGTTTGTTTACGAAAAAAATGGGGAGAAACATGCCAAAAACATTTTTGGGGTACCACAGCGCCACCTATTGGACAAAATTCAAAAAAAATTCTGTGATTGTAGATGTCGCTATGACTGATATGAATTATAACTTTCTGTATAGAATATGTATTTTTCATGAGTAAAAGGGCGAAAATTTTTAAAGCCTATAAGCCACGCCCACTTTTTAATCATTTTCAAAATATAGCTTAAGGGTCCGATGATTAACATATGTGCCAAGTTCTGTGGAAATCCATCAAGCCGTTTAGCTGAAACAAACTTTTTGACTCTTTAGCGCCCCCTATTGGTGAATCCACACAAAATGGGGTAGATAGGGCTTACCGCTCACACTTCATAAGGGTCTAGAGTCTCATCAATTTATCTTGAGAAATGGTGAAGATATCATCAATTACCACATGTGCTAGCTAGCACACTGATTTTGACATGGTGTCATTAGCCCAATTTTCAATATTTCTGCATTTTTCTTCATCACAACAACTTATCTTAGTCCATAGATCACATGTAAGAAGTTTGAAGTTGATTCGACGAAAAATGACGAATAGGTGATTAAAAGTAAGTTTTGCATTTTTTGCGATCTAGCAAAAAATCTAGTTAGGCGGAAATGGGCGTGGCCAATACAAAAAAGATGGAGAATCATCCAAGGATCATGTACATATAAAGTTTTTGACTGTAGGACCTACGGTTTGGGAGCTAGTAGCTGAAACGTGTTGACCTCCGCAATAGCGCCACCTAGGTGACGCGTGGTCCAAATTTTCGAATCTGAGTAGCGGTCAGGATTTTCTATCAGACTGCCATGTCAGATTTTCCCTGGCAATTTCAGGCTCTTGCGCCCATATACTTTTAGCGGAGAAGAATAATAATAAATAATAAATAATAAATAATAATGAAAAATCCGTAGAAAAACAATAGGGTTCCCTGCCCTTTGGGCTTGGAACCCTAAGAATAAAGAACCAACAATGCAGTTAGAAAAGCAACACAGTAAGAACATACCAAAGATCAGGAAAGTACCGCAGCTATTTCCTAATGTTGTGATTTCTCGTACATATGGCAATAAAACCCTTCTGATTCTGAAATAAGACTTAAAATCCTGGTGTTTTCAGCTCTCCTTTGATGTGGAATTCTGCTAGTTCCTGAAACAGGCGCATCTGAGTGTTTTTGCCCCCCCCCCCCCCCAGTACAACTTACAAGGCATTCATTCCCACTAGAGACCACTGCAAATGTATTAATTAAGCGAGTGTTACGCACCTTTAAATGCAGCCCATGTATGGAACTAAGGGTAAACACGTTCCAGGTGGATGATTGAACATGAGCTATAAAAGGTTTTCACAGGCTGTTGAGTGTGTGGCTGTATAAGGCTTAGTTTATGCTTGACGCATTTACTTTCCGCTTGGTGATGCGGCTCGCGGATGGAACGAGCTTCACAACTCGCAGCGTTTATGGTTCATGCGGCTTGTCTCTGCGGTGAGCCAATATTCTCCCAAACTGTAGGGGGCAGCATGGAGCTCTACGGCATGCATCCAACACTACACCATAGTAGAAGTAAAAACTACTGTTGTTTACAACATGGCATTCCAGCATTTTTAACAGCGTCCTCGTCTTTTCCGACAGTGCGAGCTATTTCTCTCCAAGAATTATTAACAACATGTTGATCACGGTGATCTCTGAGAGCTGAATCATACAAATGTCTGTATTTACGAACCTCTGCCATACTAGTTCTTGCCAGTCCGCCATGTTTTTCCACGTCCGACCGTCCGCGTAGTTAGAAAATGTCCTAGGTGCGAGGTGCAGAAAATCTGGGACATGCGGAGGTGCGTGGTTGTTAAAATTACGCAATTTCGCCGCGCGGAGCCGTGTGAACCTCGCAGACGCGTCAAGCATAAACCAACCTTTACTGGCCCATTTGAATTACTGACCTGCTATATTAGCAGGCTTAGTAGCGTTTGCAAAGTCACAAATTTTGTCCCAGTTGTCCCGAACAGCCTCAGGAGTCATCGGTTTGTTCTTTTGTCTCACAACCTGGCCCCGAGTACGCTCCCAGCGCACTGCACACACACAAATGACAATGTATGTGAAAATCTAACACACACACACACACACAAACACAAAGATATTTCCACAGCAACGCATCACAGTACTTACATTTACCAATCCAGCCTGCTCCAACCTGACGGGAGATGAAACATGTGAAGATGAGCAATCACTTGCCGATACTCAAGACGTTTCGTCACATGACGACATTTGTTATTGTTGTTTTTTTCCGTTTACCTCAAACAGTCCTCCATTTTCTTGGCACTGCTCGTGACAGAGCCAGAGGACCAAAGGAGCAACATGCTCAGGCTTCAGTGACGCCACAAGATCTAAATAAGCAAAACAGATTAATTTAGTATAATTTAGTATAAAGCACATCATCTACCCTGCAACTGCATTAAAAATGAAAAGTGTGCATGAGTTCCTTGTCGGTTTGTTTTATAAAACACCAAATAGCTGCACAGCAATATCCGATTCAATTTTTTTTGCTATTTTTCTTTAATTGTTTTGTGTTCCGTCACTTAAATATGCATAATCAACATGAATCTACAGTATATTTTATCATTTTGCGTTGATTTTACAGTAAAAACTGAGTTAATACGGTAGCCTTTTCTGAACTTTTAAAAGCTTACAGGGGCATTATGGAAGTTTGACAGCCAAAACATGTATAGAAATAATAAATGTCTTCTTCATACATTCTCCTGCAATGCCCTGGTCCTGTAGAATGAGCCCTGGCATTTTTACTGTGATTGCCTGTTTTTCTGTAAAATCACAGAAAAAGAGAGATGCTCGGGTCGAGCAGGCTGCTTCATGCGCGTTCACGCTCAGGCATCGCCCGTAGCATTTGCTATCCGTAGCTTTAGCAGCAGAGAGAGAGGCAGTGCCACTTTGTCGCTGTTCCTAACGCCTAGTGACAAAGCTAGCTACATTTCTGAGGACCCTTAGCTACTTTCTGTAGAACTTTCTTCTAGATATTTCCTGCTAATTAGCAACAAAATAGCCATTTTCACTCCGAACCGTTCTTTGGTTTGACGTTGTTTCAGCTGTCATCAAGGATATAAAAGTTACAGATACAAAAGACGTCACTGGCGCTTTAGCTCACCTAGTAAGACATCGGACACTTGTGCAGAAGACCCGGGTTCGATTCCAGATGTGAACATAGTTCATTTAGAGTTTCTTTTTTACATTAATGGTATATTTTTTTACAGTAAGATGCCCAAATTTTTATTTGAGACTCGCCGAACGGCATTGAATTCACAGATAAAAAAGATGTGGGTTCAACTTTCATTTTGGAACAATTTTTCAAGCAAGGGAAGGGAATGATCTGAGCATGCAGGAGGACTGACCCATCATAAACCTTTGTCGGCTGTGCTGAAGAGAAAGCTACAGAACCAAATTATTTAATTAATTAGCTGCACGTTCTCCTGTCCTCTGTCCTCCGGGCCACACACACACACACACACACACACACTCACCCACACACACCCACACACACACACACACACACACACACACACACACACACACACACACACACACACACACACACACACACACACCCACACACGCTCACGGGACTGTCTCAGCTGTTATTTTCGTTAAGGAGTGTGCACGTACAGCATGCACACCTCGTGCACGAGCCTACTATTGAAGCTTCCGTTACGCTTTTGGCCTGAGGGGGCAATCGCGAGCATAAAAATTCAAAACTCCGTAAAGTCCCTTTAAAGTTTGAAAGCATCTTAACCCTTTGGGCGCCAGAGTTTTTTTCAAGAAAATATTCAATTTTGACAAGACTATTTCAAAAGGTTGTAGCTTGAAAATGGTTAGAGATAAAGGTAAACTATAAATGAGAAAAGTCTTCAGTAGGACCTAACGTTTGTGTTGGGAGCAAATTCACTCATCAAGTTTGCATATTATGACGTCATCAGGTTGCCATATTGGAATGCATCATTTTTACTGATGTTCCCTCTTACTTTTACAAATTTCCATTATATTTTTAAAGTTAGAACTTGTATATACATATATAAAACTCTTTTTAGATTTTTATTTAATATTTTTTATTTAATTTTTATGAATATTTGACTTCAATATATAACGCATTGGCATTTGCAGCTTTTCATGGCATTTATTTATTTTATTTTTTTTACATTGCCACTACGTCTCTCACATTAGCGGCGTTTTTACCATCATCTCTACATCTATCATGTCCCAAAGACGGCAAAACAACCAGATGAAGAGATCAGTCAACAAAGACCAGACCTGCTGGCAATTGTAAGTTTTATCTCTCTAATATTCGGCCTCTTCATGCTGTGCTCACCACCTGCGTCGTCCTCTCCCTGACCGGGAGCCTCTCAGCAGGAAGTGTTTTTCAAACTCCAAAAACTCTTAAACTTTCAAGATAAACATACCCATAAGTGTTGCTCAGCCTGAAGTTCCACATCTCCACTGTCTTCTGGTGTAAAGTAGTAACTTCATGAGGGGCCATATTTGTAGCTGTGGCTCGTTAAAGTCAGCAATGATGCTTGCTGCAATATTGCGACTTTGGCGCTTAAAGGGTTAAATGATTCTCTAGGAAATCTGGTTGTTTTTGGATGAGTAATATACAATAAATACAATATAAGAGGAGACAAGACTAGGAACCAATAATTAGTTTTAAAGCGGATTCATTCAAATTGAAAGGCTTGGAATGAAGACGGAAAACTATTAAAGCAAAAGCTTTTAATTCCTGCTAAGATAAACCTTTAATTATTTATCTCCACACAACCGACGAGTGCTTAAAATATCTGCACCCTGGCGGAAAGAAAAGAGGCATTCTGCTCGTCTGGACTCAGCATTTCTCTCTTAGCATGATGAGTTTTGTTCTTTGCCTTTCAGAAACGTCCGAGTCAGTGAGCACAACCATATGGAACCAAGTCATTTACCAAGGTGAGTCCATCCTGTGTCGGTTGGCACGGCGCAGCGTGGCAGATGCTACTGCGGACGAGCACAACACGGAAACAAAACCATTCCTCTAGTTTGTCACTTAATCCCCCGTCAGCAAAGCTGCAGTCAGGTTTGGTGACTGTCCCGGTCTTTATGAGATCATGAGATTAAAAACACGAGAGGTGATGTACAAATACACCTATTCATGGACTCCTGACTGGTTATTTTAGATCTTTGTTAAACGTGCATCATATCCCACTGCAGCTTGGAGTTTTACTCCACAGCAAACATTGTGTAAATAAATGCAGCCGTGCAGACTTTCTGTGAATGTTTAAAAGCATAAAAAATAAACTAAATAACCCATATTTGCCTCTTTAAATCAAGAACTAATGCTTCAAAGCAGTCAGAGGGTACAGGATCTCATTAGAGCAATGACGAGATGAACTCGTCTACAGCGAGTGCTGTTGCTTCTAGTTATGGAAGTTAACACTTTGTGGGAATTAAACTTGCAGATGTTCTAGAAAAACTAAAGTTGTGGTTGAAATCCATTTTTGATTCTCCTGACCTGAAGACAAACCCTCCCACATCGGGCATCAGTTGTGTATTTACCTGGTGGCATGACGGTTTCCGTGAGGCGTGACCCCGCAACAGGAGCAATAGTGTTGCAGTGGATGTTGTGCTTGATTCCCTCGATTGCCAAAGTGTTGGCCAGCCCAAGTATGCCCAGCTTGGCAGAGCTGTAGTTGGCCTGGCCGAAGTTTCCGTAGATGCCTGCAGCTGAGGCGGTCATGATGATTCTGGACGAAGACAAGCAGGGCTTAACGCAAAGCGACAGACATCACTCACTACCTGACCACTTTTAAACAGCAGGGGAGCTGGCGCCCAACTCTGGTAGTTACTGGGCGAAACGCAGAGGACACCCTCGTCAGGTCTCCAGTCCTGTCACAGGGCTAGGGCCGTCATGGTAACCGCAAAAATGAAATATCGCAATATGAAGAAGCCCACCGCGCTGCATCATGGGCCACCGCGATTACTGAACTTGATTCAACTCAATGATGCATGTTGAGAAGGATGGCTGCGCTGGTATCAAAACGAAACGTTACTTCGCTCCTTTGGGAGCACTTTGGTTTTCAGTACGTCAGCTGCTGCGCAGCCAGAGTCCTTGGCCGAGACAGAGCTGCCACCAGCGGCTAAATAAATAAATAAACGTTCGGAGACCTGCTGAAGTCCCGGACAAGCACTGCTTCTGCAACCGTCCCGAAGAGAGTTTGAGCCGAGCTGGAGCTCACTCGCTACCTGCAGGAGGAATGCATTCACCCTAAAGAAACCCCCCTGACACGGTGGAGCAACAACCGGGAGAGATTCCCTTTGCTCGCCAGTCGCACGCAAGTACGTGTGCGTAAAGCCTGATTTAAGCTTGGTTTATGCTTGACGCATTCACTTTCCGCGCGGTGATGCGGCTCGCGGATGGAACGCGCTTCACAACTCGCAGCTTTTAGTGCAACGAGCGCACCATCCGAGAGGGTTTTCAGTGTTGCTGGAAATGTTGCCACCCCTCTCAGATCCTCCCTCAAACCGTATATGGTTAACATGCTGGTTTTCCTTGTGGGTAACAAGGACTTGACCGAGCTATAAATCACCGTCATTCGTGTGTGTGAAAGTGAAATGATAGTGCCCCGCGCCCGGTACATGTAATTTTTTATGCTTGATTTTAAACAACTAAACAAAATGGGGACTTGTTTCTTATTTGTTAGATGCTGCAGCCAAATTTGCATTTAAAAGTTTAACCTTCTCCTGAATTTTGTTGTTTTTAAGTTCAGTCGGACTCCGACTGTCGGAGAAACAAACGTTACTGCGATCTGTGTTGTTACTGCCCTTTGATCTGCATTCAGTAAAGTGTTATAAAAGAAGGCACGGCAATTTTTAACCTTTTTTAAATGTGTAAGCATTATGTTTAGATAGTACTGCAATAAAAAGAAAATGCTGCAATAATATCGCACACCGCAATATTAAGCCACCCTGAATCACCGCAGGGGGAATTCCTCAACCGCGACAGCCCCACACAGGGCCAAACATTTAGACAAACCATCCTCACACCAACGCAGGCCCAGATCCCACAGCAAGACGGTGATGTCGATTTTTGACCCGATTCCCCCCCCCTCCAACAATTTTAAAGGGCTTGTTCACTGAGAAACCGTGTAATACATGTTATCTGTGAAATACGTTCAGTCACTCTTGATTTTCACATGAATCCTGAATGTTTTCTTCAAATTCTATCACGTCCATTAGCAGCAGAAGGGAAATAGACGGAAAAACAATCGGGTCAGAAAAATCCAGTTTGTTCTACCTCAGAGAAGCGTAGCATTCGTGGACTCGCCCAGTTTGGCTCGCAAATGCAGAGAGCTGTGTTAATTTTGCAGCCAGGAGAGAGCAGAGCATGCCTTGGCTAGTTGAAACTAACTATTAGCAATAGCCAGAGGACCAGTATGCACCGGTACGCAGCATCTGCACTTTTAAAATTTACCACTCAGCATACCCAAAAGTTTTCTAGCGTGCGGTGCGTACAGATAACCTTTCCAAGTCATTTATCCATCAAAATCTTTTAAGTTAGCTTCAAAATAATAATCTGTCCATCTTCAAGTAAACAGCAGCTTTTGCAGTCGCCCCTCCCCCACCGCCTATTAAACAGCGATCTAAGGGACACTTCACAGCTTACGTCACCTTAACTTTGCATCTTTTATCCAAGAAATAAAAGCAAATGAACGCTGCGTAAGAGTTGTGTCGCTGTTAGCCAATCAGGGGTGAGATGTTTGCATGTGCTCCCCACTCTCCGGACAAACTTTACCGCCTACAACAGGAGCTTGAGAGCAATTGTCTGTCTTTCCACAGACAATTACTCACAGCATTTATTCATAGAGACCACAGCACATGTATGGGTGAGTGAAGACCTTTTAGGAATAAATATCTTGTCTTTGTGAGTTTTTTTTCATAGCCACTTGTGTGGCATCGTTTTCTAAAAATCATCCAACAATTATAAAATATCGCCGTCGTAACCGGGTTTTAGTGTTGCTGATGAATTTTTCTATCTGTGGGAGGAAACCCACAAGGCAACAGCCAGATTTTGAGCCTGCAACCTTCTTAAGACACTTTTTTTTTGTTTTTTGTTTTTACTTATTTGCAGTGGTCTCTAGGATAAGTGAAAGCCTTGTGAGTCAACTTCTGTGGGAAGAAAGCTCCTGTTACACAGGCGTGGGGAACCCTGGTCCTCGAGGGCCGCTTTCCTGCACGCCTTTGCTCCAACACTTCCGATTCAGTGGTTGATTCACCTGTTCAGCAGCTCATCAGGCTGCAGAAGCCTGTTAGTCACCTGCTGATTGAAATCAGGTGTGTTGAAGCAGGGTTGAAACTAGGCTGCATGGTGGCGCAGTTGTTAGCACTGTTGCCTCGCAGCACGAAGGTTGCAGGTTCGAAACTCGGCTGCGGCCTTTCTGCGTGGAGTTGCGTGTTCTCCCCATGCATGCGTGGGTTTCCTCCGGGTACTCCGGTTTCCCCCACTGATCACAACATGCCCTATAGGTTATAAATTGTAAGTCGCTTTGGATAAACGCATCTGCCAAACAAATAAACATAAACATAATTTATGCTGGACAGCGGCCCTCGATGGACCAGGGTTCCCCACCCCTTTGTTCCTAGAACTAGAAGTGAGCCAGAGAAGAGGAGAGCGGAAGATGGCAGGTTTTGGAGATTTATTTCCTGATATTTGGATATCACCTCTGGTTGGCTAATAGCAACGTGACCACCACTTATTCAAAACGTTGATGTTTTCTCTCCACAAATGACACAAACCTGAAGGAGCTCTGTCATGTTGTGGAGTTGCTAATGCTAACAGTTAGCTTCTACTAATCGAGACCACTCTGCTCTCTCCTGGGCGCTAAATCAGCAACAGCCTTCCCCGTCGCAAGTCAATATGGGTGAGTCCATGAATGCTCATTTTGTGATGCAGAGTTAACTGGCTTTCCTAATCCAAGATGGTCCCCATCAATGTTCAATCGGCAGCTAATGCAGGAAACAGGGATAGAAAACTATTTTTTTAGCCTACACTCAGAGTGGCCGATCATATTTCAACAACAACTAAACAAAAAAGCTTTCCCAGTAAATTTGGTCTTTAATGCAAGGCTGCCAACTGCACCAGCACACAGCCTGACAGACGTCACTAGGGAGTAGAAATGGAGACTATGACATCCTACACACAGTCTAGTGGAGAAACACACACTTGTCATGCCTGCGCAAACACCTGCTGGTGTGTATATTCAAGCGTTTAGTCATGTAATGAAAACCCATCAACTCTTACTGCTGCTTTACACACTCGACAGAACAGAGCCCAGTAGGTTTATTCAAACAACTGTAGGCTTATGCAATCCACATGCAGGAAGAAGGAAATATTTGTACACCAAAAGCACACGCTGGCACCAAAGTACACAATCTCATGCAGAAGTAATAAGGTTAAGCATCAATGCCACATCAACTGCAGGAGACACCTGCAAAACGCCATCAAGCTGGTCATAAGCAAGCAGTGGTCCATAACACAACACACGTTCTGTGCACGACAATGGAAACACCAAGGTGACAAATTGTTACGCACGTCAATGCCTTTCAAGTTTGTGGAGTCATTTACTGCGAGGAAATTACAGACTATCAAGTTTTACCACACAAGCACATCTTTTTACACACCGCGGCATAATCGTCGTAGGGACCTGGTTCAGATAACAAATACATTTGCAGACTTCCTAATGGGCTCGACACACGGGAGGCGACATCGCCTCTCCTCCATTCATTTTCAATGAGACATGCGCGACAAAACGATAATCGCGGGTCTCCCTCCTACCAAGCGAAAAACGAAAGACATGCGTGTGAAATTTTGCGCTCGTGCACGTGTCGTGCACAGGCGACCCAGCGACGCGATCCCAGAAGGTTTAAACATTTTCAACTTTTCAGAGAGGGTGCTCGCTGCAGAATCACAAAGGCGGAGCTGCACCAGTCAGCCCCGCCCACTCATGCAAATAGCCAAGGCCACTGACTTCTTCTGTTTATTTATTTTTTTATCGCAAACTAACCTGACCCACATGAATTACGGCTGTTACTACTTTACAAATGTTAATGCTATGTTCTATGCTCCAGTTAAGCAAGATAAATATAACTTGCTACAGGATAAAGCCTGAATATATCCCGAAATGAAAAGGTTTCTTTTAGCAAATGTGTCCATAGCCGCTCCAACAGAACCAGCCTAGAAGAGCATTTAAGGACAATCATTTGGTAGGCTCTGGTAGTCTAGTGGCAACATCGTCACACTTAAATTTTGCTTTCCCTCAGCTGATGTTGGTTCGACTCTCGGTGGGGTCGGCAGCTATCTATTTAGCCAGCTGAAACATTTAATTTGTTTATATTTGAGTTGTAATGTTTATTTTCAGCAAAATATTTATGTCTCTAAAAGTTCTTTGAATTTGGTCGTTCCTAAACAGCATTTTAGTTGAAACTCTGCTCACAAATGGCCACACACTGGCTAAATAAACAAATAAATTGAAAAACAAACACATTAGTCATTATATTGTAAACGGTATACCAATAAATGGTTAAAAACATAGTACTGGCAAGTGTAGCTAGAAAAGAAGAAAAAAATTTGTGCCGTTACCGGGAGGCGAACCTGCGCAAAATTACATGACAAGCTGACTGCACAACCACTTCACCATTACAACTTATAACAGGCTAGTGGCGTCACATGTAATTGTGCCATCCAGTGTGTCTTTGTAGATGGGATATATGATTTTTTGGCGGTGTCTCAGTAGAAGTCATTTCAGAGATAATTTGTCAGAAAATTCACACAATATCCAGATTTGAGAACCAAGACCAGACCTGCTTCGGAGGAGAGGACCAAATTGAAGCTGAGATGGGAGAAAATGCATGAATGAGGCCAAAAATGGCTTTGGCGTGTTTCTTATGAGGAAATGACAATATAACATGGTAAAAAGTTCCAAAAGTTAGATTTTTAATTATATGGAACCTTTACAAAAACGGTTCAGTTAACCTCTCAACTCAGTCCTCAATCTTGCATTTTAGATGAAATTAGCTATAACACCCTCTTTGGTTCCAGAATGCTATCAAGTCTGACAACTGGAAGGAATTGGACTGACTCTGATGGAATGGGCGGGGCTGACTCAGGAACGGGCGGGGCTGACTCTGGTGCAGCTCCGCCTTTGTGGTTATGCAGCGAGCACCACTTGACATTTCATCGCTGTCGCTCGGACGAGGACCAATCAACGGAGGTTTCATTCACTGACCAATGAGCGGACAGGATGCTCCGCACATCTCCGAGCAAACATGGAGGAGAAGTTGATTATTATTATTATGTTTTATAGTAAAATCAGAAGTAAGATTTCACATAACTCTAGCAGCACCTTGTGAAACATCATATCTACCACTTTATTAACTCTGAACCGCTTAAATAACCTTAATTCCCTCCAACCTGACACAGCCAAACAAAACAAAGGAAGTTTCGATTTCGCCATGGAACAGAACGCGTAGACGGCTTTGCCGCTGGCCAAGGTAATAAAAGCGACGGCGACAAATTTTGCTGATCGCGGTCGTTTGTCGCCTCCCGTGTGTCGAGCCCAGAAGCCTTCCATACAGTCCAGTCTTTGACATTTTGCCCTTTCATTCATTTCTGATACGGCTTTTCTTTTAGATGCACCATAAATCTTTAAGGTGGCTGCACACAGATTGAATCTCACCATTATGCATGAGTAATGCTAAACATGAGCAAAATCTGAAATGATTATCACTTAGCCTCTATAAAAACAATAACCAAGCCTACATCTGTTCATCAAATTGTTGATTTAGGACTAGCAGTACTGTTTTTAACCGTTTTATCCTCTATCCAATAAGCTGCTGCTGCTAAATGCAATGGCTTCTGCAAGATGTTTTCTGTTTCTGACTAATGCATATTTCATTTCAAGCAGAACAGATTGTTTGCCTTTCTAAAGACTAACTTTTATTTATTAACACATGAGTAAAGCAGGCTAAATATAACCTTTGTGTGACCTTTGTGAGATGCAAACATGCATCTCAATAAATAACTCATTGCAGGAAATATGAGGTTGACTGAAAAAACACTTTAAATGTTTTTTTCTGATTATAATCAGTCACTCTGAGGTTTTCATGCAGGCCGAACATGAAAATAGTCTCCTACACCTATCTCCTGCATTAGCTTCTGATAGAAAACACAGGGTATCTGCAGGTTTAAGGGAGCTAAATTTAAGACTTTTTAAGACCCTTTTTAAGGCCACTTTGACCAAATTTAAGCTATAATTTCCAGCTATTGCCTGGAACCAGTGCTAAACATGTCGCAAACGTGGGATTAGCCATCCAGTTACCATTAAACTTGCACTTCCCCATGGCACAAGCGCCCACTAGCTTAACCAGCTAATGTGCTCATCTAAAAATAGCCCCCTTTCACAACCAGCTGAATGTGTACGGTTCCGCTTACGCCAACATCGTAGAAATTCACGAAAACTTTATAGAAATAAAATAATCTTATTTATTGGGTCTTTGGTCATTTAAGACCTTTGGAAACTGCATTTAAGAATTATTTGTCATTTTTAAGGATTTTTAAGACCTTAAATTTGGAAAAGCAAATTTAAGACTTTTTAAGACTTTTTAAGGACCCACGGATACCCTGAAAACAGACGGTGAAACTCTAGAATTTGAAAAGCCTCACAGATCTACACGACACTATAAATTAGCATTCATGGACTCATCGGTCTCTACTCATGACAGGGAGGTGGGTTGTTGTTTTTGATGTCTGGGAATCAGCAGCGGACATCTCAGCTAGTTTAAGCTAACTATCAGCATTTGCAACTTCACCTCATGGCAGAAGCTCCTCCAGGCTCGTGTTAATGGTGGAGATAAAACATTTACGTTGCAAATCAGTGGTAAAGTTTATGTTTATTTGACAGACGCTTCTATCCAAAGCGACGTATGATTGTTAATCTTTAGGCCATTTTGTGGGGGAAACCAGAGTACCCAGAGGCAACCCACGCATGCATAGGGAGAACATGCAACTCCAATGCAGAAAGACCACAGCCGGGTATTGAACCTGCAACCTTCTTGCTGCGAGGCAACAGTGCTAGCAACTGTGCCACCATGCAGCCCCAGAGTTGTGTTGCCATTATCCAATCCAAGACAAGATGTCCAAATATCAGGAAATAAGGCTCCAAAACCTGCCGTCTGAAGCTCAGCTGCGATGCTGCAGACTCCTGCTGAGGCAGGGGTTCGTGGGCTTTTACGTGCCCCGAGTTCTGCTTGCAAGGCATTCATTCCTACTTGAAACCACTGCAAATGTATTGATTAAACAAGTAATCCACACCTTTAAAAACTGTTTGCATAATATAATTTTATCTGATGTACATTTGTACATAAAAGAAACAATACTGTAATAATAATTAAAGGCCAGTGAAATGTAGTAAATAACACATTAAACTATTGATGTCTGAGATCTCCTCATTTGTCCTGCATCAACAAACGGTGTCCTAAAACAAGATCAATACAAAGTGCTTCAAATGCATCATTAACACCGCTTTAAGTCAATAAATATTACCCACAGGATGTCTCAATGAACAGAAAACCACTTTCAACTTAAAACAGATCAGCCGTTAATGCTGCAGAAAAAAAACTATTTTCCTTTGCAGCTTTAATAAATTGTTCACTGCCCGGCCAAAAACGAACGTCACCACCTGGATTTAAAGAGAAAGTCACCCCCTACCAGAGTCTTACTCCACTCCCACTGCCTGTTTGAAAAGTGCAACAAATGTTGTTGCATGGCAGACTGAGAGGGCAGAGCTGCTAATAAATACACACACACAGGCTCATGACATTGTGACTTCATAGTGTACCAGCCAACGTCAGAGTGTACCTCTTAGCCAATAACGATGGCAGATTTAAATTGCAGTGGGAGTTTTTACCTGAAGAGGGCACAACATCGACAGTTTTAGGCAGAATATTTAAATTTTAACTAAGATGCACTAAAGGGCCAAATCAATGACTATGGGCGACGGTGGTACAGGAGTTAAGAGCTCATCCCGTAATCGGAAGGTTGCAGGTTCGAGCCCCGCTCAGTCTGTCGCTGTCGTTGTGTCCTTGGGCAAGACACGTAACCCACGTTGCCTGCTGGTGGTGGTGGAGGGACCGGTGGCGCCATTGCTCGGCAGCCTCGCCTCTGTCAGTGCGCCCCAGGGCAGCTGTGGCTACATCGTAGCTCATCCCCACCAGTGTGTGAATGTGTGTGTGAATGGGTGAATGACTGGTTGTGTTGTAAAGCGCCTTGGGGGGTTTCAGGACTCTAGAAGGCACTATATCAGATACAGGCCATTTACCATTTACATGTGTCTACAGCACGTTTAGACACTCATTTATGTAGTTTTTCAGGAAAATAAAGTTGATTTGGGGGTGACTTGCTCTTTAACTAAGCAAGTAGGTAGGAGCCTCCTTTCGGATAATTACTGCATGGGTGGTTATCTTTCAGTTGGCAACAAGTTATTTAACCCCAACTGGTGCAATGAGTTGTTTCTCATTTTTTAAACAACCATGTGGAAAGACACACCTGGTGGAAAAGACGTTAGTCTGTTTGACGCTTTACACATTATTGGCATGCATCACGCTGAGAAAACATCTCAGGAGATTGCAGAAATGAGTAAAACTCAGTTAAGAACTGTCCAACGCATCTGGTCTGAGTCCAGATGGACCCTGTTCCAGAGTGCTGGTGCATCAGGGTAAGAAGAGAGGCAGATGAAGTGATGCACCCATCATGCTTAGGACCTACTGTACAAGCCAGGGCTATGATCTGGGGTTGCTGCAGCTGGTCAGGTCTAGGTTCAGCAACAGGATGTGCTCCGAGAATGATGTCAGCTGACTACCTGAATATCCTGAATGGCAAGGTTATTCTATCTTCCCTGATGACTCGGGCATATTCCAAGACGACAATGCCAGGATTCATCGGGCTCAAATAGTAAAAGAGTGGTTCAGGGTGCCTGAGACATATGGGCCACTCTCATCTGTACCGGGTCGGCCCGGGCCGGGTAGCGTAGGTTGTTTACATATCTGGGTGGCCTGGTATTTTTCCGGGCCAACCAAGGCTCATTCTCAGCCCTCTTCTCGAGGGGGTCTGCTTCAGGCCGACCAGGGCCAACACACCCACTGCTAACAGCAAATTCACACCTTCCATTAGAGCAAGCCTCTGATTGGTGGGTAGAATCAGCCCACATGGGCTTAAGGCAAGGATGTGTGGAATCAACCGGGCCAGGCTGGGGCTGACTGGGGCTACCCGGCCCGGGCCGACCCGGTACAGATGGGAATGGCCCAATAATTTTCACACATGGACTGGCCACCACAGAGTCCAGACCTTAACCCCATCGAGAATCTTTGGGATGTGCTGGAGAAGGCTTTGTGCAGCGGTCAGACTCTACCATCATCAATGCAACACTGGATGGAAATAAATCTGGTGACACTGGAGAAACTTATCGAAACAATTCCATCTATCTAATCGGTCGATCGATCGATAGATCGATCGATCGATAGATCGATCGATCGATAGAGCTCACTTACCTGCCAAATTTCTGTTTTTTCATGTGGTTCCAAGCAGCTCGGGTCACCAGAAAAGAGCCTCTTAGATGAATTCTGTGAATGAGGTCTGAAATACAGAAGGTGAGCGATGGCATGAAGTACATCAACCATTTTCCCTTAATGACATATGACAAAAATATACAATGAGTTTATTTTAAAGGTTTAACCCTTTTAACAGCAGTCCAGCACAGAGCTTGTTTTGTCCGCTGTAGCTTATTGAAGCAAGGACTGAACTAAAAAAAACATTAAACTAAAACATTTTACAAAACATGGATGTCTGAAATGAAAAGATGCACCTTTGATTGTTTTGCCTTATTAGTATTAGTGTTTCATCATCATTAGTACTTTAAGATGTAATTAAATTTTTTTTTACCATAGATACATTTCAAAAAAAGCAAATAAATATTGTTTTCATTTATACATTTTTTTACTTGAACATTAAAGGATTTAAAATTAAAACAACACAGAAGTAAAATATAATGATGTAAGTTGATAAACAGTATAAATTCCTGGAAGAAAATAATTCATTCACCCCAGTCCAAATCACTGGTTCGGGGAAAAGATCTGTCCCGAAGTATCCTAGAAAAAAAAAACACAAAAGCAGGAGTTTACGTCTGTTTGTCATCTGTTAAGCAACATCTAAGGTTATTTAAAACAATTAATGACCCAAAGTCCAGTAAATATAGTAACCATCACCAAAAGGTCTTCCTTAGGACAGAAGACATCTTATTCAAATGTGATTATTTAATTTTTAACTAAATTCTCAAGTTTATTATAATTATTATTATTATTAATGATAAAACTAGATACATTTAAAAACAATGTTTATTTTTAATAATAATATTAATAAATAAAAACAAGTATTGTAAATGTTTTATTATCAACATTATTATAATTCATAACATTATATAAGTAATAATAACATTTATTGTTTATTTATATTATTATTATATTATTATTATTATAGAAACATTAAAATTTACATTTTTGTAATTTAAAAATATTTGTATTATTTTTCATCAAATTCTTGGGCTGAAATTACTTACCCAGCATTGTTTACAACAATGTCTGAAAGAAAAAAGTATCATAAGTGAATATGAGTTGGTTTACTCAAAAACAAATGGTGACACGGTGATAGTACACACCAATCCTTCCAAACGCGTCCAGTGCCGATTGGATCAGCTTCTCTCCATCTTCTACAGAATCTGCACATGCACGAAATAAAAAGTGAGGACTGCAGTGAGAACTGGAGCTTAGCTACCACAAAATGTTTCTTGGACTTTTTTGCAACTTTTTGGATTCTTAGTTTTCAGAGGGCTGACGAGGGGCGTGACATTTACCTTGATCGCTGGGAATTGCTCTCTACAGAATACAAATTCTCACTAATCAAAGCATTGCATAATTCTACTAAACCATGTCCTCATATGCACAAGAAACACAAAAACGGAAAGATTTATTTATGTGGAATTCTCACGAACACATTCTCAAGTCTTTATTTCTCACCGTAGTTTGCCACAGCTTTGCCTCCCTTTGCTCTTATCTCCTCCACCACCTTATCAGCAGCTGCAGAACTCTTTCCACCTCCCGCTGTGTCTACCCCAAGGTCATTCACTTTATTGCACGAAGAAGACAAAGATTAGCAACAATAGGATGAACTATACAAATCTCCCAAAAGAGGAATGAAAACTGAGGTTTTTTTTTCCTGGACAGTCAAACAGAAGCAAGTCAGTCCAGCAGAACAAATTATTCTGTTTTAAAACAAGATTTATGACAAAACTTGAAAATGCATGGAATCAAAGGCAATATCTGATGTTTTTTTTTCCTGGAAAAGTCAATAAGAGAGTGAAAATAAATATGATCAGTATCTCTACCAATAGTCTATGTTAACTGAAACATTTTTTGATCAATCAGGCTTTGTTGTAGCAGTGTGAGCTGCAGGTTCAGAAGTTTCTCCGTCATGTTACACAGATGATTGCCACTACTGCAGTTTTAGAGCATGTGTCCAACTGAGAATATGAAACTATTATAAATATAAAAATGTATGATTACTATTACTTTAAACAAAGCTGTAGGATTGATTCGACACATTTACGCTGAACAGAAATGAAAATACAGAGCTGCTCCATTACATATACTTCTTGATAATTTACCAACTACAGATGCCCCTTTAGCAGCAAAAGCCAGAGCATATTCTCTCCCCAGGCCTGTGGAACAAAGACAGAATAAAACCCTTAATTAATAATAATAATAATAATAATAATAACAATAGTAATAATAAATAATAAAAAAATAATAAGAATGTTTATTCAGACTGAATATTTGAAATCAGCAACTACCTGTGATTTGGTGTGTGTGCACTTCACACACATTCCTGTGATTATAAGCTGCACTTTGTGCCCTAGCTGTGTTCTTTACCAGACCTAAAGTATCTCAATAGCATAAAATTAAACAAGTTCCTAGTTTGTGAACTGCTTGTTCATTGACAATGGCAATAAACCTTTTCTGATTCTGATTCTGATTAACCTAATCCCGTTCCACAAACAGCTAAATCACTGATTCTCTGTTGTTGATTTCTGTAACAATTTATCGACTTGGAGTTTTACTGCCAGGACAGTTAATCTCCAGGTTGAGAAACCACTGGAGCCCAGGGCAAAGATCAATCCTTGTTACAGAACTTTTCTCATTCTTGCAAAAAGAAAGGCGCTGCGCAACTAGCATGTTAGCATGCTAGTGCGATCAAATCTTTCAGCAGACAGAACTATAAACTAACGTTACCTCCTCCAGCGCCGGTGACAAGGACGACTTTCCCCTCGAATGACAAAGACATTTTTAGATGCTGTTCTTGTTTCAGGGCAGCAGCGACACGGCAGCTCTGACAGCAGTGAGGGTGAACTCCAACAAGTTTTACTTCCGCATTTGCAGAGAGGGCGGTCAAAACCCCAGCCAATCAGAGACCGGTATTTCAGTTCGCAGCGTTCCACACTCAGCTGGGATATGCACGCGCTAACTTGGCACAACTTTTTGACGTCATTGTACCTTTTTGTTAATTTGCTAGTGATCAATTTTTTATCACATATGTTTTATAGTTTTGCAAGAAAATTATCGATGTGATGTCATGAGAATCACACATATTTAGACTTTTAATATTCATGTTCTTGTGATAACAGGAAATTAATGTGTTTAATTTGTATACCCGAAATCTGAAAGTAGATGAAAACATTTGTAGCCTTTGTGCTCTATATTAGTATCAACAGTCATCATAAAATGATGGTTGAACTTTTTTTAATTGAATTAATATTTATTTTATTCTGTTATGTTCCCATTATGTTTTAAAATTAGGTACAGGCTACAACCCATGTTAATCAGAAACAGAGAAATGGCGAAGCTCTGCTTTAGCAACAAATATATTTTAAGGTGATTTAAAGCAACTCCAACTTTAAAATTGGACCAGTATCAGTTTTAGATAAAAGATTGGAGAAACTTTGACCTCCTTTATTGCAGATTGTATAAATTTATTACATTTAAAGTGTTTTTGTTAACAGTTCTCTTATGTATATGCCCTTTTATGTGATTTGATGCTATATAAATAAACTTGAATTGAATTGCCCAACATTTTAATAAGGCTAGGGTCTGAGGTAGAAAGCCTCACATTTAACACCACATATAGGAGTCAACTTAATTACAAATCAAGTACAAATGATCAAACCTGCACTGATTCTTGTCATTGTTCTACAAATGTTTTTTTTTCCTTTGCCAAATATAAGCACTGTGGATGACGACCAAAGTTCTCCACTTTGCATCAGTGGTAAAGCAACATTGTTCCAGCATGAGTTTGTTTGTTCACATGAACGCTTCAGCTAAGGAATGATTGGTCAGTCAGGAGTAGTTTATTATCAATAGCATTTCAACTGTTGCTCAGTAGAATTATAGCATTAAGATTCTCAATAAATGTTTCATTTGTCTTTTTCCAGCAACTTTGACAAGAGAATTTTATTTTTTATGTTATTTATTGGCATTACTATGAAAGCTGCCACCCACACCCAAAAAATTTGAGCAATATCACATCATAACATCATAACTGTATTGTTCCAACAATACAACATTCATGTTTGTACAATTTATCATCACGTCATGGTTTTACAATATAATTTTCAAGTTCATACAAGATACGCGTTTATCACGTTTGTGTAATATAAATATCCCATTCTTATAATCTAAATATTACATTGTACTAATGTGATATTTATATTGTACAAACATGAAAATTATATTGTAAGAACGTGATAAAATATTGTGAGAATATGAAAATTGTTAGAACAATAAAGTTAAGATGTTACTACATGAAATTGTTCCAATTTTATTTTGCATGTGTGGCAGTTCTACGTTGTAGTCAAATATTGATGAAAATGTTTTAAAAACAGAGAGAAGTGTGGAGTTCCAAAAAATTTTGGCTCATTTGGAACCCCAAAGTGGAAATATAATTACTCAAAACGTTAATGTCAAAAGTGCAGCCCAGTCTCAGAGTGATTTCCTCTGTCCCTCAGTTGTGTTTTGAGACAATCGCCCTGTAGCCATATACCTTCTTCTTCTGACATTTTTATGTCAGATTTCTTTAATTATATGAATTCTTTGGACCAATTTTGTGGCGACCCCCCCCCCCAAAAAAAAAACAACCCATCACCATAAAATTATCTAAGTATTTTCTAAAGAGTGTTTCCAGCAAAGACAGATAAAAGGCCAAATAGATAAAGAAACATTAAGATTTATAAATGTGGGTATTTAGCTTGTAAGAAGAAGATGAAATAAAAAAGAAGAAAATGAAGAAGAAAAAGAAGAGAAAGAAGAACAAAAAGAAGAAGAGGAAAAGGAAAAGAAGACAAGAAAGAGTGAAAAAGACAACGAAGAAGAAAAAGACAAAAAAGAAGAAAATAAAAAAGAAGAAGAAAAAAGGTGAAAAAAGAAGAAAAGGAAGAGCAAAAAGAAGAGAAAGAAGAGCAAAAAGAAGAAGAGGAAAAGGAAAAAGAAGACAAGAAAGAGCAAAAATGACAACGAAGAAGAAAAAGACAAAAAAGAAGAAAATAAAAAAGAAGAGAAAAGGTGAAAAAAGAAGAAAAGGAAGAACAAGAAGAAGAAAAAGGAAGAAAAGAAGAGGAAAGGAAGAAAAGACAAAAAAGAATAAAAAGACAATGAAGAAAAGACAATAAAGAAGAAGAAGAAGAAGAAGAAGAAGAAGAAGAAGAAGAAGAAGAAGAAGAAGAAGGAGGAGGAGGAGGAGGAGGAGAAGAAGAAGAAGAAGAAGAAGAAGAAGAAGAAGAAGAAGAAGAAGAAGAAGAAGAAGAAGAAGAAGAAGAAGAGAGGGGCAGTTAGCAGCAGCAGGGGTTGAGAGCGCGCGGGGGGGAGGGAGAAGGGGCGCGCGAGGATGCTCTGAGCCCGGACGTTGGCTGCTGCTCCTCAGACTCTCCAAGGAGGTAGCGATGGAGACGGGATGAACCTGGCGGGGAGTTTTTTCAGAGGAAAGCGTCTCTGGGGTGTCGTTACCCGGCGGCATCATCTCCAGAACCTTCTATTTGGGGGCCGGAGGTAAAACGTGCCACCATACCGTCGATGCCTGAGGATTATGGACCCTGCTTAGACAGCTGCTTAGTTTCTCCTCCTCTCTATTGTAGCTAACCTGATTAATCGCTTATTCGTGGTTTTATCATAATGCTGAAATAAGCTCTCTGCCGACGGGAAGAATGTTGCTGCGTGTCTCTGTCGTGTTCGGGGCTGACACATGCGCGTACGGAGTCGCAAACACGCACACAGGCTTCGCTTCTCAGCCAAAATGATACATTATTTGGTTAAACGTTTTTTCGTGTTTCGCTCTATTGCGCATGCCTGGTGTTAGAGGCAGAAAGCTGCCGGACGCCACTCGGTTTAGTCCCGGCCGTCATGTAGCCGCAAACAGAAAAGTAGGAGCGGAGGGGCTGCTGAATCCAAAAATGTTCTGGCAAAGTGGGATCGTGGCGAGCAAAGGATTTGACTAGAGATCCTCCACGACACAGACTGTGCCACAAACTGAAGAATGTCAGGGACACCCAATGCGGAGGCTGAAGGAGTAGTCTCCAAAGTAAAAGTGAAAAAGGAGATCAAGACAATCGTGGAGAATTTGGAAACCATCCTGGGAGATCTTAAGGACGTCGCCAAAGAGCTGAAAGAGGTAAGTGTTAGTTTGTGTTGTGTTTCCTCCTCCATGCCTTGTTGATGCTCTTTTTAACCCTTTTTTTGTCTGAGAGAGAAGACTGACATCCATCTCACCGTGCCCTGGAAATGGCACACACTCATTCACACACACACACATGTATATATGATGATTATCTTTACCATTGTGGGGTGTGAACTGGCAGGACAGCTCATCTCCCCCCTGACTCACGAGCTACATGAAAGTGAGAAAATTGTAATCACAATTAATATTTAATGGGCAAGTTGGATTGAACCAGGAATGTGCTTTTGCATTGCGTTTCATCATCTAAATGCAGGCTGTTGTTTGCTGCGAATTGTCTCTTGCCAAACAACAGAGATGTGGCGTTTCACTTTCTCTGCTCACTCCTTTTATGGTTTCATTTATCACAGCCAATCATCTCCATCCCTTCTTTGTCTCTTGTTTGGGACTTCTTGTTAAAAATCTAAACAGAGCCGTGTGGCCATTCGGAACTCAGCGAAATGGGTTTTTGGGAATACAGAACATTTGTCCCGACATATTTTCTTGTTGACATTATCACGGCTGCTCATCGTTTTCAGCCAGCGCAGCTGGAAAAAAAACCCCATCCCTCTTATGTTGATGCTCCTCTGTTGGTTACACACCAGCCACCCTTGCTGCTGTCCCAAACCATTCACCTTAACACGACAAGCTGTCATTCTAATACAATCTTATTGCACACAGCCTCTGCTTCCTACATTATGAATGGGCAGTGCACAGCATCTGTCTCCTTCTGCCTCCTCACCTCTCATTGCTTCTTACATTTTAACCTTAACACAACATATTTTGTCTTCTGCAACAGTCTCCCATCCGTCGCAGGTACCAGAGTTAAACCATAAAGGGGGGGGGGGGGGGGGGGGATTGTAATCTATCTATTGTATCCTCTTTTTTCATCTTTCTTGTTTCTTTTATTATTATTTTTTGCTAGCAGGAAATTGTATGGAGGATCAGTTATTTTGACACAGCTCACACATTAAATACAGGCCTCGAGGGGGTGTTACTATCAAAGCCAGTGTTTGTGCCTAATCCGTTTGAAATGGAGTTATCTGTTATAACTCACAGACAGAGCTGGAACCAAGTCTGGCTCTGAGGAAGGACCCTGCTCAGATGCTTGGCACAACCACCCAAGTTGCCTGGCCTAGAGCAGGGGCTGCGCACCGGGATACTGGTATCACCTCTTGTGTGCGCGTCCCAACCAAATGATCCATTGAAAGACTCGCGGAGAGTTTAGCTCCCTGCTCGCTTTACGTTTGCCTGCTACCGCTCTTCTTTCCATCTCTTTCCTCAAGTTTAAGCTCTTGACATGCCGCTGTTTGGACTCACATGTTTTAAAGTACACAAAACATCAGCACCTCCAAATCTGAGACCGTGGTTCTCGACCGGAAAAGGGTGGCTTGCCAACTCCGGTTCGGGAGAGAGGTCCTACCTCAAGTGGAGGAGTTTAACTATCTCGGGGTCTTGTTCACGAGTGAGGGTAGGAGGGATCGGGAGATCGACAGGCGGATTGGTTCGGCGTCTGCAGTGATGCGGACGCAGAGCCGATCTGTCGTGGTGAAGAGGGAGCTGAGCCAGAAAGCCAGGCTCTCGATTTACCGGTCGATCTACGTCCCAATCCTCACCTATGGTCATGAGCTTTGGGTAATGACCGAAAGAACGAGATCGCGGATACAAGCGGCCGAAATTAGTTTCCTCCGTAGGGTGGCCGGGCTCAGCCTTAGAGATAGGGTGAGGAGCTCGGACATTCGGGAGGGACTCGGAGTAGAACCGCTGCTCCTCCGGATCGAAAGGAGTCAGTTGAGGTGGTTTGGGTATCTGGTCAGGATGCCTCCTGGACGCCTCCCTGGGGAGGTGTTTCGGGCATGTCCTGCCGGCAGGAGGCCCCCGGGTCGACCCAGGACACGTTGGAGAGGTTACATCTCCAATCTGGTCCGGGAACGCCTTGGGGTCCTGCCGGAGGAGCTGGTGGAGGTGGCCGGGGAGAGGACGGTCTGGAGCTCCCTAGTTGGGATACTGCCCCCGCGACCCCGACCCGGATAAGCGGAGGAAGACGACGACGACAACAAAACATCCTTTTTGGTGTGTTCTGTTGAGAATCTTTGTTTACTACATACTTTAACATTATTAGTTTGAGTATTTCTTGTTAAACTTTCTGGTTCCTCACCAGTCAGGCAGTAATGCATAAAATGCCCAGCTCCTCAGTTCTGGGCATCAAAGTAGTACATCTCCACAGAGAGTAGAACCAGGAAGGGTCTCTCATCCAAAGAGAATATTTTGGACGGACTTGTTAAAATGGCTTCAGAACACAGATTTTATATTCCTGGAAATCAGTTTGACGTTCCCAAAAGATATTGGCGTCGGTATTAAATTCAGTCAGTATGCTTGGGCAATATTTACTGCTGTACATATGTCATCTGAAACTATCTTGCCTAAAGCTATTGTTTCGGGATTCCAGACGTAATTGAAAGAAAGAACAATTCAGACCATCTCCGAGGTACAAGTGACACAAGTTCACAAGTTTAAGACAATAGTCAACAGTGGTTTCAAAAAGTGTTCCTTATTTATAGAGTTCTTCTGTTTTTGTCTTCTTCAAATGAATAAATGAATGACTTTATTGTCACTGTACAGTGAAACCATGAAATTAATCTTATAAATGTTTGAAATCTGCAGATAGAGTGGGTACGGAAAGTATTTAGACCCCCGTCAATTCTTCACTCGTTGTAATATTTCAGCCATTTGCTAAAATCAACTAAATTCATTTTTTCCTCATTAATGTACACACAGCACCCCATATTGACAGAAAAACACAGAATTTTAGAAAATCCTGCAGCTGAAAAACACCCCCACAGCATGATGCTGCCACTGCCGTGCTTCACTGTGGGGACTGTATTGGACAAGTAATGAGCAGTGCCTGGTTTCTTCACACATACGGCTTAGAATTAAGGCCAAAATGTTCGATCTTAGGCTCATCAGACCAGAAAATCTTATTTCTCACCATCTCAGGTTCCTTCAGGGGCTTTTAGCAAACTCCACGCGGGCTTTCATGTGTCTAGCTCTGAGGAGTGGCTTCCGACGGGCCACTCTGCCAAGAAGCCCTGACTGCTGGAGGGTTGCAGAGATGGTTTATTTTCTACAACTTTCTGCCATCTCCTGACTGCCTCTCTGGAGCTCAGCCACAGTGATCTTTGGGTTCTTCTTTACCTCTCTCACCAAGGCTCTTCTCCCCCTTTAGCTCTGTTTGGCTAGATGACCTGCTCTAGGAAGGGTACTGCTCGTCCCAAACATCTTCCATTTAAGGATTATGGAGGCCACTGTGCTCTTAGGAACCTAAAGTGCAGCAGAGATGTTTTTGTAACCGTGACCAAATCTGTGCTTATCCACAATTCTATCTCTGAGCTCTTCAGGCAGTTCCTCTGACCTCATGAATCTCATTTGCTCTGACATGCATTGTGAGCTGTAAGGTGAAGGTCTTATATAGACAGGTGTGTGGCTTTCCTAATCAAGTTCAATCAGTACAATCAAACACAGATGTACTCCAGTGAAGGTGTAGGACCATCTCAAGGATGATCAGAAGAAATGGAAAGCGCCTGAGTTAAAAATATGAGTGTCACAGCAAAGGTTCTGAATACTTAGGACCATGTGATATTTCAGTTTGTCTTTTTAGAAACGTCAAGTGCCGTGTGGACATTAATGAGGAAGAAATTAATTTAATTGATTTTAGAAAACGGCTGCAATATAACAGAGGGAAAAGTTGACATAAACTGAGTAGATAACAAATGCAGTTTTCAATTTCTATCCAAACCAACCTTCTGCAATTCAAATAGTCTTGGCTCGTCTTCTTCCGCCTATCCGGGTCTGGGTCGCGGGGGCAGCATCCCTACTAGGAGTGCCAGACTGTCCTCTCCCCGGCCACCTCACCAGCTCCTCCGGCAGGACCCCAAGGCGTTCCTGGGCCAGTTCAGAGATGTACTTTCTCCAACGTCCTGGGTCGACCAGGGGGCCTCCTGCTGTTCGGACATGCCTGAAACACCTCCCTGGGTAGGCATCCAGGAGGCATCCTAACAAGATGCCCAAATCACCTCAACTGACTCCTCTCGATATGAAGGAGCAGCGGCTCTACTCACAAATGTCCGAGCTCCACACCCTATCCCGAAGGCTGAGCCCAGCCACCCCGCAGAGAAAACTTATGACCAAAGCTCATGACCATAGGTGAGGATTGGGCGGTAGATCGACTGATATCGAGAGCCTTGCTTTCCAGCTTTGCCTTGCTAATTTAAATAGTCCCTTGTTAAATCATGAGAAATTGTGGTCAACCTTTTAAAAGCTGAGGTCAGGCATTTACCCAGTCCTGATTCCTGTCAGAGCTGTAGAATTAAACTAACACTTTAATGTAGACAATAATACCTCATTAAGCAACACCTCATGCTTCATATTAAAGACATTCAAAAGCAAAATAACCCCAAACATCTAAAGCACTGCAGGCCTCACTTGGTTCAGGTGAGAGTCAGAGGTCATTATTAAAGGGACTTTACGGAGTTTTGAATTTTTATGCTCGTGATTGCCCCCTCAGGCCAAAAGCGTAACGGCAGCTTCAATAGTGCACGAGGTTGCGCATGCTGTACGTGCACATTCCTTAACAAAAATAACAGCTGAGACAGTCCCTTGTGTGTGTGTGTGGCACGGAGGACAGAGGACAGGAGAACGTGCAGCTAATTAATTAAATAATTTGGTTCTGTACCTTTCTCTTCAGCACAGCCGACAAAGGTTTATGATGGGTCAGTCCTCCTGCATGCTCAGATCATTCCCTTCCCTTGCTTGAAAAATTGTTCCAAAATGAAAGTTGAACCCACATCTTTTTTATCTGTGAATTCAATGCCGTTCGGCGAGTCTCAAATAAAAATTTGGGCATCTTACTGTAAAAAAATGTACCATTAATGTAAAAAAGAAACTCTAAATTAACTATGTTCACACCCAGAATCAAACCCAGGTCTTCTGCATGGGAGTCAGACATCTTACTAGGTGAGCTAAAGCGCCAGTGACGTCTTCTGTATCTGTAACTTTTATTTTTTTGATGACAGCTGAAATAACGTTCAAAGAACGGTTCAACGCTAAAATGGCTATTTTGTTGCTAATTTGCAGGAAATATCTAGAAGAAAGTTCTACAGAAAGTAGCTAAGGGTCCTCAGAAATGTAGCTAGCTTTGTCACTAGGCGTTAGGAACAGCAACAAAGTGGCACTGCCTCTCTCTGCTGCTAAAGCTACGGATAGCAAATGCTACGGGCGATGCCTGAGCGTGAACGCGCATGAAGCAGCCTGCTCGACCCGAGCATCTCTCTTTTTCTGTGATTTTACAGAAAAACAGGCAATCACAATAAAAATGCCAGGGCTCATTCTACAGGACCAGGGCATTGCAGGAGAATGTATGAAGAAGACATTTATTATTTCTAGACATGTTTTTGGCTGTCAAACTTCCATAATGTCCCTTTAAATAATAACAAAGAGAATGGGGCAAAAATGGCCTCCGTGGAAGAGTTCCAAGGTCTGAACTTTGACAAAAGTGGATGTTTTTGGTGTTTCCCGTTACGGCTGGTGTTAAACTAAACTAACACCATTTCAGAAGACGAACAACCCAACAGTCAAACCTGGTGTTTGGAGGCTGCTTTGCTGCTTCAGAACCTGGACCACTGGCTTCAGATTATGGTGATATAAGTTCTACCTGAAAAACGTGACCTTTGACCTTTTTCCTCCTGGGAAACCTACCAGTGTAACTGAATGAAAACAGCTCTGCAAAGAAGAGTGGCACAAAAGTCTTCCACAGTGATGTGAGCGACTCATCACCACTCATCAGAAGCACTTGATTACAGCTGCTGCCACCAAGGGTGTTACAACAAGCTATTAACGTTAGAGGGCAATTCTCATGTAGGTCCATGCTGGTTTGGATAGCTGTTCTTTTCTTTTTTTCCCAATGAAATCATCATTTGAAAACTTTTTTTCAGGTTTTCCTCTTCCAAATGGAGTTTTGTTTGCTGATTTGAAACTTAAGAAGCAGAATCAGTCTCTTTGCGGGTAAATACTTTTTTACTGCACAGATGTTGTTCTTTTCCTGCCTAGTCAGATCTTTGTCTCAGAGTGTTGTGTGGAGGCAGACGTATAGTAGCTATGGAGGCACGGTCTACCCTGGCTTTCACTTTTCGTGAGGATAGTCTCAAAAGAGGAAGCCGATTGCGTCATGTCCAGAAGAAATCTGCTGTTCTGTGTGTTGTTTTCACAGGAACCATGTGCCTGCACGGTTGATGTTTCTGTTTGTAATAAGTTCCACTCAGAAATAAAGAAACGATTAAACAATTTATGCTCTAATATGTATAAATACTTTGCTGCAAGCTTTGAGGACAAAGAAAGGTCCATACATATATGTTCCACTATAAGAGCAGTCTACTGTAAACTACGACATTAACTGATTCACTGTTTTCAGTATTTCTTTGTGACCATTCTCCAGCAGAGTGATAGTTTATTGATTTTTCTGGTCCTTTTGTCTCGAGACTTTTGTGTTTGTCCAGTGTTCTGACCTTTCTTCTCCAGTGCTGGTTTTTATGTCACGAAAGACACTTTCTGTGTTTTTGAGTTGTTTTTCAGTGTGATTGTGGTACTTGGGCTGCACAGTGACACCACTCGTAGCATTGCTGCTTTTCTGCAAGGCTGTTTCTGGTTAAAATCCCATTTGTGCACAGATATGAAGTTCTCCGTCGTGCACAGGTTTTCATCGGGTACCCTGACCTTTTTTCTACAAACCAAAAGCATGTATGTGGGGTCAGTTGGAGTCTCTAAACTGGGCGTGAGTGTGTGAATGGTTGTTTGTCTCTGTGTGTCCCTGTGATGGACTGGTGACCTGTCCAGAGTGTCCCCTGCCTCCTGACTGAACTCCCTGTGACCCTAGAGAGGATGAAGCAGTTCAGAGAAACTGGACAGATTTGGGTACCATCAGATTTATGGTTTGGAAGATTCCTGTAAATTCTCGAGATATGTCAATCTCCTTTTGAGTATTTGTTGTTCAGCTATATTAAGATTTTCTCTTAGATATATTTGGATCTGTTTGAATATATAAAGAAGACAAAACAAGTTTATTAATTCAATTCAATTCAAGTTTATTTATATAGCGCCAAATCACGACAAGAGTCGTCTCAAGGCACTTCACATAATAAACATTCCAATTCACAGTTCATTAAGCCAATCAGAAATAATGTTTCCTATATAAGGAACCCAGCAAATTGCATCAAGTCACTGACTAGTGTCAGTGACTTTACAGCAATCCTCATACTAAGCAAGCATGCAGCGACAGTGGAGAGGAAAACTCCCTTTTAAGAGGAAGAAACCTCCAGAGAATCCTGGCTCAGTATAAGCAGCCATCCTCCACGACTCACTGGGGATGGAGAAGACAGAGCAGACACACACACACACACACACACACACACACACACACACACACACACACACACACACACACACACACACACACACACACACACACACACACACACACACACACACACACACACACACACACACACACACACACACACACACACACACTAATGTGTCTTAGTTCTATTGTGATGTCTTAGTAAATATTCTATTTGGTGAGATACACTTTATTGTATTTATTCTAGTGAATCTATAATTAAACAGGTAAACTAGTAGTAGCACATCCAACGTCAAGGAAACCAAAAAGTTATTATCAGGAGAGGGAGAATGTTTTAGTGGTTAGCAGCAGTGTGCTAGTCGATGGCCCCCTCCATGAGGCCACACAGCTCAGCAGAACATCGTTGTAGCTTCTTCTGGGGAGAAAAACACTTAGAGAAAAAACAAAGTTAACAGCTGAAATTGCAGAAAATAATACAATTAAAGAGCAGACTGTAGAATAAAGTAGTAGAGTGTGGAAAGTGGTCAGTGTGTCCTCCAGCAGTCTAAGCCTATAGCAGCATAACTACAGAGATAACTCTGGATAATCTATCCTATTTAGATGGAGGCATGTTGGAGGCAGGGCAAGGGAGAGCCGTCTTTACCGACTGTACACTCCACCTCCCTCTACTCTCCCACTTGTCCTGATTTAGGCTAACATCAGATTTTAACCATAGGCCCTATCAAATAAAACATGTTTTTTTTAGGCAAGAACAATCTTTTGCTAAAATTATAATAGTTAATGCTTGATCATCCTGCCACATTATCACCTGTGATTATTAACCCTCACACGTTCTCTGCTTGTCACCAGGTTGTTCATGACATTGACACCCTTACTAGTGACCTGCAGCTGGAGGAGGACGGAATGACCGACAGCTCTAAGACAGACACGCTAAACTCCAGCTCCAGCTCCACCACCACCACCACTACAGCATCCAGCCTGGAGAGGATGAAGATCTTCCCCGATGACTGCTTCTTTAAAACCCAGGTGCCCCTCAGTCCCGTGACCCCTTCTTCAGTGCTGACTGTACTGAAGAAGCCCCACCCGCCCCTGCCACCGCCGAGGGTTACTCCACTGAGATCAGAAGATCACAACATTAAGAATCTGCCTCATCCAACTTTGGTCTTGTCAGGGAATATATCCAAGGCTAACGGGACTTTAATGAGGAATGGTGGGGTTTTCCCCCTGAAATCAAGCAAGGATTTATTCTCCTCCACGCCGTGCTTCATTTCTGGAGAGAGTGAGATGGCTGAATCGGGTCTTGTTCCTACTTTGCCCAGACCCATGCCGCTTCTCCGCCATGACAAAAACAAATGTCCCAAGGCTCCTGGCAGGGAATCCAGAGAGAGAGTCCGTTTTAGCGAGAAGGTCCAGTATCACGGCTACTGCCCAGACTGTGACCTCCAGTATGATGTGGATGACACAGAACTACACTTACAGGCTGAGCTGAACGACTTAAGGCTCAGCCCTGTCCACTGCTGCTCCTCCTCCCCTCCTCCTTCTCATGCTTTCCCTCATCAGCTAATGTTGGAAAACGGAGGGCTCTCGGTCAGCCACAGTTTCCCACCGACAACAAACACTCCGCCTTGTGTGCCTCCTCACACGCCCTCTCTAAAGCCCCAAAAAACAATCCTACGTAAATCAACGACCACCACGGTTTGACGCCAAACATCTCTGCTATGTGTTCAGTTAAAAATCCTCCAGAAATTCATAGTGTTTTCTACTCCACGTGAACTTTGGATTATCCAAACAGAGAGCAGAGGGGTTGGGGAACAGCAAACAGAAGGATGGATGAAGTAGGTGGAATGAGGAGAAACGCGTTGCCACGGGCGCTGGGGTGTGAACAGCAAGATCAGGAAGAAGCGGTGAGTGTTTGTGCATGTATGATTGTGTTTGTCAGGAGGAAGAGCAATTGCATGTGTGCACTGATGCATAGCTGTGAGTTTTACCTCACACAAGTTTATTTGTGTACGTTTGTTGCCGCATGCATGTGTGTGTCGTTTATCGTTGCCAACCACAAGGAAATGCACGGGGAACGTTATGAGGGATGACTGACAGCAGTGAAAGGGCCTTCCTGTTTCTCTGAAAGCTCTTATTACTAACAAGTCTCCAACTCAAGAAGGCGGTTCTTAGAAGGAGCTGTGATTAATTCGTGTCCTTCTAAGAACCTACATTCTTCAGTCCTCGTCCAACGTTTCAGAGATCTTTCTGCTGACAAAATCTTAACGGCTGTGTAAATGAACGGTTGGATAAAAGTCAGTTCCCACCAACTTTTCCATCATTACCGTTCCCGTCACCGGTGTAGGACTGAAAGAAGCCAGAGATAACGAGAAGAGAGCGGTGTGGTGGACTGGAGAAGAGGCAGTGATGTCATTGGATATTTTTTTTTGTAATTTCCGTTTTTAAGTAGCTTTGACTTTGCTGCTCCTCCACCCTACTGGTTGAAAGTGGAATTACAACTTTTGTAAACAACCCTGCAACCCTTACAATGAGCTAACTCTAACATGAACCAACTAATACTAAAATAAACCACAAAGTAAAAAGATCCAAACTGTTGTACAAAAAATATTATAACTTACAAGTCCAGTAGCAATAAAGCCAGTCCACCATCAGTCCGTGATTTTGCAGCCTCCTTTAGCTCCCTCAGACTAGTGTAGGTCGTGCAGATGTTCACTCTGGTTTTTAGCTATTTGCTTCGCCTCCAAAGACCTTACTCTCTGACTTTTACTTCCAGGCTCCACCATGATGCCAACAACAAAAGCAAACTTCTTCTATATCTTATTCTTGTGCTTTTTATTGACGGTCGATGAACTGGAAGAGTTAACTGCTAGCATAACTGCTGTAAAACAGGTAAAGAGCTCCCCCTATAGAGCACCTATCCGCTCCACAAAACTGTTAAAAAGCAGCCCTCTGGTTAGCAGAGGGCTGCAGAGTGGTGTTAAATATGAAACTGGTCAAGTACCTAGCCCAACAATCCCTGAGATCATTGTTAAAGTTCTTGCTCACATGTGTCAGACACAAGGCCCGCGGGCCAGATCTGGCCCGCGAAGCATTTTTATGTGGCCTGCGAGATCAATATAAAAAATATATTAAAACTGACCCGCTGGCCGATTTTACCGCAAAGACTACAACTCCCATGATGCTTTGCGGCATTAGCGCAGAGCCAACGCGCCTCCTCCTTTGTGTTTTTTCCAGCGTCTGCTGCCGGTGTCTGCAGCTCCGCTGTCTCGGACAAACTAAACTGAAAGAGAAAGTTTTCCAACTAACTTCCAGACAGAGCTGATATAACTCCAACGAGCAGCGACACGCTCAAATCAGTATGACTCTGGCTGCTGTAGTTTTTATTTTTCCTCCCCGACACACAACAACCTGGTCAAGCTGCTCAGACGCTCTCCATGTTCACCAGCACAAACCTATGTGAGCACCTGTTGTCATGTTATCATTATTATGATGAAGATGAACAAAACAACAGGAGTGTCCTCCTCAGCTCAGATCAACCCCATGATGCAGGTATCTGGCTGGAACAGGTGAGCATCACAGTAAACCAGTGGAGCAAACTGAGCTTTAAATGTGTTGGTTTGATGCTCTTTTTCTGCTCCAAAACATGAAAGTTAACAGGTGAGATGTTGCATTTTCATTTAAGATAAAATGATATTTTTATTTTGTTGTTGGCCCGTGAGAAAAGATTTAACCTGCAGTAAACAGGAAGTGGAAAGGCTGCAGATAGATGAATAGAATAGAAAATCCCTTTATTGTTCCTCAGTGGGGAAAACTAGATGTCACAGCAGCGATGACACTTATTACAGGAGAAAAAAAGGGGAATAAAAAATAAGAAAAATGAATAAAAACAACATGAAAACATAAATCCTGAATAGATTTTAAAAATGCTGATTATACCACAAGTAATGAACACCACTGATGCGTTTTATTTGAAACTGACTTGCTTGTGTGTAATGTGGTTATTCCACATTGTTAATGCAAAAATGTTTGTTTCCAAATTAAAAGGTTCAAAATTGCATTTATGTTGATAAAGAAAATGCGCAACTTTGCCGTCACTTTTTCAAAAAATATTAAGTTTGGCCCTCGACTCCGTCCCAGATTTTCATTTCGGCCCCAGTGTGAATTTGAGTTTGACTCCCCAGCTCTAGCTTAAAGTTTTAAAAAAGATTTAGTGTTACTATAAATCATAGAAACACGAGTGTTGCTTGTGTAGACGCCCAACCTCCTCTGGGATGGCTCCTCCATCCTGCTGTGACAACCATGAGATTAAATGAACAGTGAGCTTATTGGTTCTGCTTGTGAATACTGATAGTCCAGCTGAAAGGAAAAATATGTACTTTATTTCCTTAAAGAAAAATAAATCAGCATTTATATCACATCATCTCTGCCTAATTTCTGTTTTCATCTTATCACATTCTATTAGAAAGTCTAATTAGTACAGCGTGGCTTTTCTGTGTGTGCAAGTAAAGATAATCATTTTCAAATTGATTGTGAAGGAATATTGTGTGTGTGCATGCCTTTGTGTGTGTGTATAAGTGTTTGTAAAAGCACATGTCAGCTTGGCACTCTTGGGGAGACAGCATACCCCTGAGTTAGATGAGAATAGTTGCACCTTCCTCACAGCAATGCCCTTAATTAGCTGCATTAAACAACAGAAGATAACAGCTCTGCCTCAGACTGCCTTTGCACCAACCTTTGTTTCCCGCTTTGTCTTACCAAAGCTCAGAACAACAGCTGCAAGTTTTATTTATGCTTAACCAAGAAAACCACAGGAAGAAAAACGGAGGGAGAAAGAATAAAAGGTGCAGCAATGTAAAGATGAGCGTGGGGGTAGGCAGTGCGTTTATTACATGGACGTAATTTTCACTTTAGAAGTGGGGGGACGGGGGTATCTTTACAGTATGTTCCAACACAAACGGTTGTTTTCCGCTTGGTCCTAGAGCTCAACCAGTGTCAATTTAATATAGCGTAATATTGTTTTTGGATGGTTAAAAAGCGCAGGGGTCAAAACTTGACTTTGGAAAAAGTGTGTGTGTGTGTGGGGGGGGTGGGAGGGGGCATGTCCCCCCGTCCCACCCCAAAATTATGTCCATGGTTTATTATGTGTTTTTAAAATACATATTAGTGTTGGTGATGAGGGGGTGAGAAGCTTGAAGGTTAGGGATAAGAAAATGTGGAATATGACAACAAGACTGGCTGATGACTAAGTCCGATGTTTGACCTTGCTGGCCTCACAATCTAAAATTGGTATTTGGATTAGGGCTCAGTGGATATTCAGCCATGAGGAACAGGACTCTGAGATTGGACAGGAGAGACGTGGAGGGCAGAAGAGTGGGACTGAGCGAAAGAGACACAAAGGCAGAGAACGATGGTGATGTGAGGGGTGCTGCTTGTTGGTCCTCTTGATGGTTGCTCTGTGTAAAACAGTCTCTCCATTTATCTTGTATCAGTGGATTTTAATGAGTCCGGCAGCACACACACACACGCGCACACACACACACTCACACACACACACACACACACACACGCACGCACGCACGCACAGACACACACACACACACATATATGCACACATACGCACACACACACACATACGCACACATACACACGCACGCACACACACACACACACATACGCACACACACATACGCACACACACGCACACACACACACCCCCCAAAAGTGCTGAACAGATTGGATTGCAGCCAGCATCATCAATATTTGCAGTTCGTAAGGGCTCTTCTACAACGGCACTTCACTGCTAGCTAACACTCAGTTTGTTGAACCGAGGAAAGTGACACGCTTGAGTTGGATGATTAAAAACACTAAAAGAATAAAAGCATGTGCACTTTTGATTTGAGTTTTGTCACTGATGAATGCAACGGGTGTAAAGTAAATCCTGGACACAGAAACCCCCTCTTCTCTACCCGGGTTTGATCGTTTTTAGTCATTTTGGGTTAGTGTTGTGTGAAGGCTGCACGCCAGTGAATGACATCTTTGGTAATAATATTGATATTTATTTACACAAAAAAATTGGACAGCCAATTTGTCCTCTTCTGCATAACTGAGGACATTTATACACATGGCCATGTTTTTGTAAAACCACTAAAAAACTTCAGTGCATTGTGAAGCACATTCATAATCATACCAAGCCTGTAGGTGTCAGTAGTTCCCCAAATCGTCATCATCTCTGCCAAAAAACATTGATTGGATGTGGAATAACTGGGGGCGGGCAATAAGGATATTTAATGTTGCCCTTTGCCTGTAGTCTTCTTCACAGAGCAGTAACTGAGCTTGTAAACACAAGTTTCACATGTGATGTCGGAGCAGTTTTGTTGCAGACAGTGAAGCTGTGGAACCTAAAACACCGTTTTTTTACGTTTCCTAGCAAATGCTGACAAAGGAGTACTCCACTTGTACGGAGGTTGTGATACAATCATTTTTGTTGTTGTATTTCTTTACTTTTGTGTGGATGACAGGCCGATCGTTGAAAAATAACTTTGTTTTGAGGGGCACCTGGATACGTGTGTATATGGCCTAACTTCTGTCAGATAAAAGTTAAAAAGAGATGAAGACGTTCTGTGATCTCATTTCTCTCGTTTCTGACTTTTTTCTGAAGTTTTTGAAGCATAGAAGTACTTTGAATAAATAAGATTTAATAACAATAGTGACCAAAATACAAGGTAAAAATACACTTTAAATATAGTAATTAAAAAATACCAGGAGAGATTGTCAGTCCATCACAGGGCTACATAGAAAGAAAGTCGTATTTGTTGTCGACAGCTTATGTAGAATTACAAAGTACCAAAAATTAAAAAATAATTTTTTTTCTCACCCACTGTGTAATATAGTCAAATACTGTACA